AGCGCCAATATATATGCGCCACACAAAACAATGAAAATTCGAAGAGAGATAGAAAAAAAAACTAAGGAGCACAAAAGAAAAAGAGAACGATAACGAAGAGATTGGTGTAAGGTAGTGTGGTCGTAACGATGGGACGGAAAGGTACAATCAGAAGAAATCTTTCAAGTAAGGGAGACACAACCACTTTTTATGAAGAAAGTAAAAGAAGGTTACAGCAGGATCGCCACTGGCTTCTATTCTGAGCCATATCTGATAACGTCTCTAGCCACTGTGTAGCACCATCTCTCAGACCCCAACCAGGGAGTCGTGAAGGACCGACACAAGCCAGTCCTTTGCAGCTTTCTTTCATACCACGACACCATGTCATGCACTGACCACCTCTCCGCTTTTTCCAACCAGTCCCAGAGTCGGCAAATAATGCACGATATGGAATTCTCTGGGACGACATTCGTAGAACATGTCCAAGCCACCGAAGTTGGTGTTTCAAGATGGTGACACCAATTGAATTATCATCTCTGTGCCCAAACACACGATGCCGAACCTCTGCATTACTGACATAAATTATAGTCTTACCGCTCAGTTTATTGACTAAAATCTCCCACATTCACAGCCACTTTTTGGCTTTATGTTGTATAAATGTTATTTCCTATTTTATGGTGTAATGCGGTCTGTTGGACTGGTATATAAACCAAGTATGATTCGCATAGTAGAACCTCAATTCAAATGGAAGGTCTTAGAGGAAAAAGGATCACTAAGGTCGTAAAGTTGTTCATACCGATCAAACATCATTGATTTAGCACAATACTAAGATGGACAATTAAATCATAAGAATTAACCGGTATTAAAAATCAATAAGACAATCATTATATCATTTATATACCTTGTACATTTAGTAATGATAAACAAGATCAAATAACCAAGTTATAGATCATGAATTTCCCATCAGAACACGTATATATAATCATTTTTTTCTAAAATAGAATATTACACATATACAGAACATTGATAGATAAATTGTAAATGAATAAATTATCTCATCAATTGATATTTCATGCAAATTCATAAAAAAAAATTTCAGCATGTTTTATACACTCTTTTTTGTTCTCGTTTGTAATCTTTGATAATCCCATTACCGTAACTGTTTATATATAGGGTGAGAGAGAGAGAGGGGTAGAGGGAGGGAGGAAAGGGGAGGTAGAGAGAGAGAGAGGAGGATAGGAAAATTCTAATATGTTTCATTTAAAAGTAGATAAGGCTTTAATAATGTCACCTCTTCAAATGAATGTAGAGTTACCTCGAGTCTTAAGTGTTTCATTTATTGCCAGTGTTATATATACATTAACATTTATTCAATAAATCATTCATATATATATATAATAATTGAAGGTATAATCAGTTATGACCTCTATTAATTGTTTTATTTATTAAAATAATAAATTATTAATATTTAATTTATTCACAAATTATTTTTACTTTTAAGTGCCATAGAGAAAACTTTAAAAAAAAAATACAAAAAAAGGTTTTCCTTCTTTTTTTCCACTTAACATCAGTTTTCAATCACATAAAAGGATAAATATTAGGCCACCGTTGGAAATTGGAAGCACTGAATGATCGTCTCGTCCTATTACAGGACTCCTCAGCAGTGAGCATCTATCATCCCGCTCGCGGGATTCGAACCTAAAGAGCTTCAGTCGTGTGCGTGAACACTTAACCTACTGGACCACTGAGCTGGCATCCAACGGTGTTAGTATTTAATTTCAACCAATTCACGAAATTGAACTAACCATCCACCATTGTCATCAGTGAGTTAATACCTCACAACAGACCCGATTGAACTCCACTGGTTACTGATTCACACTAGAACTTCAGGATATACATCTTGAAGCCAGTCACTAACGAGCATATGTTGATTAGTATCAGATGGGGGTTTTGTCGAGATTTCAGTAAATTCATTAGTTGAAATTATGAGTCAATTGAGGCTAGACCCCCATGGAAAGCCTGGAAGTTAGCCAATAACATGGTTGGATGACGGCTCAGTGGATTAGAGGTTAAGCGCTCACTCAAGAGACTTATAAATCCTGGGTCGGAATCTCACCATGCAGGATTATGGACGCGCACTTCTGAGGAGTCCCACAATAAGACGAAACGGCCATCCTGTTCTTTCAGGTTTCCCATGGTGATCGAGCTTCAACGGATTAACTGTGATATTAAATTGGTTGTTATAATCTTTAGTTTTAAATAGTGTATTATTTTTAAAAAACACAACTGATGAATTGTCATTCGTTGTAATCTCTGAATCTATTAAAGAATTTACATGATTATGTTGATTTAATGAAGGTTAAATGGATCTAAATGAGGTTTTCATTCTAATGTAATACTGATTCGAGTTTGAACATTCAGTATATTTTTGACTTATTTCATAGAATAACTTTAGTTAAACAATTATTGAAAACGAAGAATTAGTGGTATAGCTCTCATATCGTAATATGGAAATTTATAGCACTGAATGTAAACAATTGTGATAAGAATTAAATCCAGGAACTACCTGTTTTATGAGCTGTGCATATAGTTTAGTTTTGTTTCGTGATACTCTACGTTCATTATCTATTTCGTTCGTCATACCTATTTCAGGGCAGACATATTTGATCTCTAACGGTTTCTTGTTTAGCCACTAGGAACTGTGGAATACTTCGGGAAGTTATTCACTTGTGAACACATGAATTGTACAAACCTTCTATACGAATAATTTTCTGGGTGTTTTTGCAGATTTCAATTGGACACACAAATACATTTTCGTTACCCTAAAATTTTCTATCAAATATGATAAATTATAACCACCATATTGAGATATTAGGATTTATATTTTCAACTTTAGTGAATTCGTGATATGGTGCTACTCTTATAGTAATCTAATAGTTACTAACTTTGATCAAAATAGCTAATAACCGATGTTGATATATTAGTTGAATACATTCATATATTACTCTGTTATATTTTTTAATTTTTCACTCCAATTTGATAAATCTTTTAACTGAACGCCTGAATCGGTTTCCTAAGCTCTTCCAATAACAACAGGCTAACTCTACACGGCAACTTGAATACACGAGAATAGAGTATTTATAGCATTTTACACGGCAACGGGCTTCTGGAAGCCCACAAAACACATAAGCAGGATATGTAATCATACAATCAGAAATGTGAAAAGTGATTTTTCACTTTCTAGACGTTTTTTTGAGATACTTCTATTCACTGCTGATTGGATAAAATGTTTCCTAATGCTTTAAGGGTCCCTTTGGGTATTTTAAAGGAACTTTAAAGGTCTCCCCAACATAATTTCATTCAACTTCACTTTTTTTTCTCACCATGCTGATGTTGGATATAACAGCGTGTACTGAGACACATTTTTACTGGATCTTACAAAATCTGATAGGTATTAAACTCCCATTACTATATAATCTCGATGTTAGTTCCAACTTCCCCGACTTCACGGTTCTTTACCTCTCAACTCTTTACCATATTTTTTTTCTATCTTCATTTATGAAGAAGGATTTTAGAGATTAAAACTGAATCACATATTCTTTTTGAAAAATGCATTTCAATGGAAAGCAAAAAAATTTACTGTATTTATTACAGTATGTCATACAAGCTAGATACCATTAGTTGGCATTCTTGCATTTATAACATCTTCTAGTACCGTGAATGATTACTTAAAATAAATTATTCCTATTATTTGAAACTGATTTCATGAAACTGATATGATTTTTAAACAACGATAGTTTAGCAAAGATGGATAATGACTAGAACTGGAATCCATGACGCGCGTTTCGTCCAACTCGAGACTCGTCAGCCAGGTATACTAGCATCCGAGAGTTGATGTTCACTCCGGGACAATAGCTTAAATCATTTGTTGATAAGGTCTCAAAAAGAAAGATTCAACGTTTTGATACCTGATTGAGTTTGATCTTTCAAATAGTTGTCAAAACGTCTTAAATAGGATTACCAACAATTATGAAACTTTTAACCGATAATTTATTTCTAGTGTTATAACAATACACATCTAGATCAAAGATAACAGATTAGTTTCGAGTTTTTAAAGGGATTCCTTTACCTTAGGTTTTTATCATATACATATATCATCAAATACCTCGTGAAATGCACTTTGAATAGTCATATTTTCCCAATACCATTAATAGACCATTTTAAATAAAAGGCATTTTGTAGATCTAGTATAATCATGGGTAAAATAAAATGATGAAAATCATTTTTATTCTTCTTTGCATGTCTTTTTCTCTATTAACTGATTCATTTGGTACTTGAACATGCGTTACACGCTAAGTGTGAGCGCTAATGATACGATCCAATTACCTAAAATGAATTAGATGATGAGTGGTTCAAACATAGGACTCAGTGGTTGATGGTCATATGCAATAGCCCATAGACCATCCTTCCGTTTTATATGAACTAATATTATTCTAATGAATTTGAGCTCAATAAAAGCTTATCAACTAATGATATATGCTGATACAGAATAATATGTCATTACAATGCAGTTCTTATAGTAAATATCTATCGAGACTAGCGCCATTTAGATGATATTATGTCCACTAAATTAGACTACTTAATCATTAAGTTTACGTTGTCTTTCTGTACAACATCAGTAGCATAAACTAAAGATAGAAGTAAGTTATTCAATCGACAAGCAAAGAGGATGGCACTCTACCAAAATCATCCATCTCAGCTAGAAATTCAATCGATTTGAGTTACATTATTAATCTATGTGGACTAACGATAGATTTCTTTAGGGTGACTGCCTAAATATTACGTCCTTTCAGATAGTTAAGATACTATTTTGTGTTAAGCTTCATTTATTTAATAAGTAACTATGGTAAAAATCATGTTCACGATTCGTTGTATATCATCAGTACTTTTTTCATAAAACAATGTTCATTTATAGTTGATAAAAAATTTCTTCATTCTCATTTATATTTCTATGATTTCAGATACCTACATCATCACCGTCATCAGTTGCGATTCAACCAAATGAAGATGATTCTCGAAAAGTAACAATTTTAATATCTTTATCATCTTATTTCATACCGTACTTTGTGTATATGGTATTAGGTTAGATAAATCAGATTCAAGATGTTAATTTGAAACATTAATGGACATCATTTTAAGAGATTTCACTATTGAAATCCTGATAACAGTTACTCTAGTCTGGCGTCCTAGGCTTTGGCCAATAGTACATTAACACCGACACGATTAACCTTGAGTGAAGGCTAACATACACTTTATCCTTTCTGTCCCGTTGATTTTCTGCCTTGAGTCCTAAAGGGAAATAAAGCAACCAAGCTTCTAGCATTATTATCTGAAGCACAGATGGCTCTATATAAAGGCAAACCAATTTTGATTACACCATGATATACACAACCAATCCAAAAGTGGAAGTGAAAACGGAAAAGATATAGACAGTGGATTAATTGCAAATTATAAGACATATAGCATTAGTTAGGAGTTCAACTGTAAGCTTACAGTATCCAGAACATAGTGATCCAGTTATTTATTACATATTTAATAACAGTTCATAAAATAGTTTCGAGGGTTACCATTTCTTCAACCTGGATTATGCTACATCACGCAGTATAAATGAAATGGAAATACTTCCCCCTTATTAAATATTTTCAAAATGGTTTATTAATTATGTATTTACTTGTGAAACTGACAACAATAGATGCTGCCAAAATGAAGGAATAAACGTAGACACATGATAATATTTCAATTCATGGATAGCCTTAGAGCGATTTTAAATCGATACTGAAAATATTCACCTACACACTAGGAATCAATGCAGGGTTATAGATTAATTTGAGGAATTAGGATTCGGATTTAAGGTCAGAAGCTAGAATTACGGTTTCTATCACAAACAGACGTCAGCTCTAATACCAAAACGCCATTCAGCCATACAGATAAATAAACGTCTAGGCTAGAACTTAAGACTTGTTGTCTTTAATTCTATTGGCTCATCCGTAAGTTGCAATCTAAGTTTATCCATTCTAAAATTATTTTTTTTTTGACAAATAATCCCACTAGTTATTCATTGAATAAAATAAACATCTATAACCATTGCATCCAATCTGGCTAATGTAAGAGAGTAAATGGCGGTTTAATGGTTCCAATATTTCAAAAAATGTTTGCTCACAAACCACAATTTGAAAAATTATTAGCTGTCAGGATTGAAGAAAGGAAACCGCTAAATATATGATGATGGTAATATGAAGCGGGAAACAATAACAATGTTAACTATTATCACCTCCATAAAGATTGCATAACAAAACTATTTGATGCAATACGGATAAATTCTTCCATCTATTTTGGTTTAAGATACGAGAAAAACGCTTAATTGTTCCATAGCTGGTTATAATTCATGATGAATTCCAATTTCATACGTAAATACGCTTTCTTACGAGTAATTTTCAAATAGAGTGAAGCGAAACATTTTTTTATAGTTTTAATGACTTCAAATGAAAATCGTAATAAAACTGCTTGATATATTTGAGCGTTAGAGGGTTCAGATTATTTGATTTCTTTGATACTACCCGTGAGAATACTGTTCTAATTCATATTTCAGATATAACTTTAGCTTTCATCTGATTTGGCTGTTGCTATTTGTAGTTTGATAGTTTCGTTGTGTCACAAAGTCATTGTATGTTATTATATTGACAGAGTTGTTTCATTTCAGTTTTCGACTTGTGTTCTGAATAAAACGTTATCTTGGAAATCCCATCTTCCCTATCATATATTGAATTCTTGATTATTAACGTTGAATTGTTGTGGTTTCATTCCCTATTTAATTGAGTCTGCCAAAGAATATATATCTATTAGAATAAACTTAGCTATTCCGTAATCAGCGAATACCATATGCCTATTATAGAGCCTCAATTTCATTTCTATTATCATGTCAATCAGAATAGGTTGTACATGATAAGTCTTTTAGTTGAACGCTAGATTCGTTTTCTAAGCTCTTCTAGTAACCCACAGGCTAGATCTGCATAGCAACTTGAACACGAGAGAAAAGGCGCGAAATATGGTGAAAACGTTTTACTCTAAAGATTCGTTTATGTACAGAAAATCTGTGGTTTTTATAGTATTTTGGATGACCTGAGGTTTCCAGAAAATTCTGGAACGCTACTAAACATAGTACCAGTATAGGTAATTGTCCAATCAGAAACTCAACATACGACTCTTCATTTTTTAGATGTTTCTGGCAAAACGTCTGATGAATGCTGATTGAATAAGATGCTTCTCAGCGTTTTTGGAGCCTTTGTTGAGTTTTTCGAGGAGTTTTCTAGATCATTCCAACAGTAAACACGTAATATTAGTGATTGGCAATAACTTACAGTCCCTAAGAAAACTTCAATCTTTGCGCAGTAATTTCAATTAGTTCCTTAAAATATAGTCAGTATTACGTAAATTAATTTATAACTCTATGAGGAAAAGAACATTTTATACGTGAACAATAAATGTAATCTCTCATTACCTTATGACCAGTTTCCCTCTTTCTCACCCTAACTTCAAAACTTTCTATGTTACTCTCTTGAGAGAACTTGAACCAAAATATATATATCAGATTTTACGTTAACTATGGCTGAGTAATCCCAAGAGCCTGATGTTAGATTAATTGACAAAAAATGATCAATACTACTTATTACCTTTGTTAAATATCTAAAATTTTAATGACGTATTGTATTTACTGAATTGGGATACAATTAAATGCTTAAAACGTTAATCATATATACGTAAATATATAAAATATATCAGAAGGTTTTTTGTGGATATTATGGTAATTTCAATGTTTGAGATCACGAGTCAATAGAAGCTAGATCACCATAAGAAACTTAGAAGCACTGGACGCCCATTTCCTTCTATCGTGGGACTCCTCAACAGTGCGCATCCACAATCCCGCCTCACAAGATTCGAACTCAGGACCTATCAGTCTCGCATACAAGCACTTAACCTCTAGACCACTGAGTCGGCATTCAACAGTGTTAATGGATAACTTCAACCAATACACGCTTGAGACCGAAAGTCTTGAGTTCGAGTCCCACGTGTGTGATCGTGAATACGCATTTCTAAAGATTCCAATACTAGGACGAAACGGCCGTCCATTGCTTCCAGGTTTTCAATGGTGTTCTAACATTCATCCATTCATTATATCAATATAAACTCAACAATCTCAACAACCCCATACATTTTTAATGAAAACTACATAGTACTAGTTAATATTAACTGAAAGTTACACTGAGTAATGGTTAATATGCAATCGTTATCATTCTTTTGAATTAATCTATATTTACTGACTAACGCCTGTTACTCCTTGTGAAGGAGCATAGGCCGCTCACCAGCATTCTCCATCCAACCCTGTCCTGGGCAATCCTTTCCAGCTCCTACCAGTTCCTATTCATCCTTTTCATATCCGACGCAATGTGTTCTTAGGCCTTCCTCATTTCCGCTTCCCTTCATGATTCCAAGTTAGCGCTTGTCTCGTGATGCAGTTTGATGATTTTCGTAATGTATGTCCTATCCATTTCCATAGTCTTTTCCTAATTTCTTCTTCAGCTGAAAGCTGATTTGTTTTCTCCCACAAAAGGCTGTTGCTGATGGTATCCGGCCAATGGATGTTGATTATCTTGCGTAGACAGCTATTTATAAATACTTGTACCTTCTTGATGATGGTTGTTGTAGTTCTCCAAGTTTCAGCTCCATACAGTAGAACTGCCTTGACATTGGTATTGAAGATTCTCACTTTGATATTGGTTGAAAGTTGTTTTGAGTTCCATATGTTTTTCAATTGTGGGAATGCAACCCTTGCTTTGCTAATCCTTGCCTTTACGTCTGCATCCGAACCTCCTTGTTCATCGATTATGCTTCCTAGGTATGTGAAGGATTCTACATTTTCCAGAGTTTCGCCTTGAATTTGAGGACCTTGGTTTTCCCTTTGTGTATGCTGAGGCCTACTGATGCAGAGACTGCTGCTACACTGGCTGTCTTCATCTGCATCTGTTCGTGTGTATGGGATAGGAGGGCTAGGTCATCTGCGAAGTCCAAATCGTTTAATTGATTTTGAGCTGTCCACTGTATTCCGTGTTTTCCTTCAGATGTCGAGGTCTTCATAATCCAGTCGACCACCAGAAGAAAGAGGAAGGGAGAGAGTAAACAGTCTTGTCTGACTCCGGTCCTTACTTGGAATGCATCTGTCAGCTGTCCTCCATGCACGACTTTGCACTGTAGTCCGTCGTATGAGTTCCGGATAATGTTGACAATCTTCTCAGGAACTCCGTAGTGTCGAAGAAGTTTCCATAATGTCCTCCTATCTACACTGTCGAATGCTTTTTCATAATCAATGAAGTTGATGTATAGTGACGAGTTCCACTCAACTGATTGTTTGACGATGATCCGTAGTGTTGCAATTTGGTCTGTGCACGATCGATCCTTACGGAATCCAGCTTGTTGATCTCTTTCATGCGGTTCAGCAACACTCTGTTGAAGACCTTCCTTGGTATTGACAGCAGTGTAATGCCTCTATAGTTTTCACATTTGCTCAGATCTCCTTTCTTTGGAATCTTGACGAGGTGCCCTTCTTTCCAGTCCATCGGCACTTGTTCCTCCTCCCAAATCTTTTTGAATAGAAGGTAAAGCATGTTTGTAGTCAATTTGATGTCTGACTCCAGTGCTTCAGCTGGTATGTTGTCCGATCCCGCTGCTTTCCCGTTCTTGATTTGTCTGATGGCCATTCTAATTACTTCCTTCGTTGGTGGATTGACATCTATGGGAAGATCTGTGTGCGCTGCTTCGATGTCCGGTGGATTCATCGGAGCCGGCCTATTCAGGAGTTTCTCGAAGTATTCTACCCATCTGTTCCGCTGTTGTCGAATCTCGGTGATTGGCTTGCCTTCTTTGTCTTTGACCTTTCTCTCTGGTTTACTGTATTTCCCTGCTAGTTTCTTCGTTGTATCGTAAAGCTGTTTCATATTTCTTTCTCTAGCAGTCGTTTCTAGTTCTT